GTATCGGTTTGAAAAAATTGGTATCGTTGCATCCCTAGTTCACATGTTTCTGTCTATAGTTATATTCAGCCTCTATACTACTTATAAAGCTACTACCTCTTTCACAGCTCTTTTTCTGTCCTTTTTAATAACATAAGTGACAATGATACATTTTCATTTTGTACCACGACAACTTCTAGACATCAGAAAAGTATTTATGGAAAGTGTATTTTAAAAAGGTGAGGTATAATAAGACCCATTATTGACTTTTAGAATCTGTTTTTTCTTGTTATTTTTTATTTATTTGTCCTGTTTTTAGCCACAAGATTACTAATAAGTTCTCGTCTTGGTCAAGAGGGCAACATAAGCACTTAAAATTTCTAAAAAGAAAAGAAACAAAAGTAAATTTTAAGAGAACAACAGGATGCAATATCCACACCAAATTCCACCTGAAGTTCAAGATTTAGTAACAGCAACATCTGCTCAGGGCAGCACATAAAGCTCTGAGGACATGCTGGACACATGTTGAATAATCTGAGTGCTAGAGGCAATCTGACACCTGAGCAAAGTTGCTGGTAAGAAGACAGGTTACCGAACAATTTCTTGGCAATATATAGCAACAGTTTATTTTCTGAATGAAAGCTAGAGCCTGAGCTTGTTGCACATGTTATATATTATATGTGATAAGACTGTGATCAACAAATGTAAGTTTCTCTATTTCTAACTCAGTTTGTGCTTGTTTGGAAGAATTGAAATAGAAAAGAATTTCATATTGTTTTACTTTTTTGTCACTGATAATAATTGTCAATGATAATAATATAAGAATGAATGATTTTCAGTCTTCCCTTAATGGTTTATTCTGCTGTTACTGTTGTTTTATTTTCCCTCTTCATTAAACCACGACACTGTTACCTAATGAAATGTTACTGAACCTGAAGAGAGGCTGACACAAACAGACACACAAAGACACAAACAGACACACAAAGGCATAAACTCAACAGTGCAGAGAAACAATCAACAAGAACACATCACAACGGGTCCACGGTCTTAGCGATTGCTTTAACTACTAACAATACATTCTCCACATGACGTCTCATCTGTTCCTCACCTGTCATGAGTGGAGCAGATACATCTAATATAAACCTGCTTAAATTATCAATTCATTTAACTCCAAGCGAAGGAACATAGTCGTAATAATGCAACTGCTGGGCCCTTAGCTGCACACTGTGAGGATAATCTGCACGTAACCTCTTGGTATGATTGGATTTCACTTCTTAGATTCATCACAAATATGTTGACTGGAAAAAAATGTTCGATAGCATGTGGGGAGAATTTGTGCCTCGGTTAGTTTTCAGTGCTGTTTGCTTTAGAAGACTGAATATATTAGAATATATTAGCACCTAGTACATATTTATCCATTTTCCTCTAAAGACAATAATGTACATTATATGTATATATATGCACACACACACACATACATTTGTTATAATATAAAAACAGTGTAAGTGCCTCTTCAGAATGTAAGGTTCTGTAATTCATTCTCAATAGATACCCATAACATTCAGAGAATGAAGTAAGTAAGAAGTAATGGAAATATACTAAATGCATAATAAATAATAATAATAATTTATATAATTGATAATTAATTAAATGATGTGAAATTCTTTCACGTGTAAAATATGATATGGAGTAGTTTTATTAGAATATGAAACAATGCAAAATACATGTTCCAAACAGAGAGTTTTTATTTCTCTGGTCAATATTTTAACTTGTCTCAACATGAACATAAGGCTGTAACTGCATATGCTGCATACTCAAAGTGAAACATCAGCGTCTGAATTATTTCAGTTTTGAGAAAAACCTAAAACAATAATCTTTTATTGGAAGTCTGTCATTACTATTAACATTACTACAAATATAAAACACGAAGCGTGCGAGGTCTTAAAAGGAAAGAAAAGGCAGGGAAACGATAAAGTGCATTTGCAGTTTGAAGAACTCGAATGCCAGATCAATATTATAGCCATCAACAGATCTTGCAAGTGGCATTTGAAAGGGAAAAGGGAGGCGTGAAAAGAGGAAAAGACTAAATCAAATCAAGGAGCGAGAATAACATAATATACAGAAAAAATGGCACGGACTGAAATCCCAGAGAGACTACAGTTACGACTGTTGTCTAATTTGGTATAACTGAGTCTACAAATGTGAAAAGGAAGCTAAGGAGATTAGAAGGGAAATAAAAAAGGAAAACAGAGGCGGAAATTTAGTTAGTAAAGAAAAAAAACAGTGTAAAGCACAGAAAACTGAACAGAAAAGAAAAAAGTACAAAAGAACAGCAAAGAAAGAAGTTGTGTCGTAATATGTTCGCTGAACACTGTAAATGTCACTTTGCATGTTTTGTATGAACTATGACAAAATGAATTGCTTTCACCGTGCACAGACGCACAGTGCCACTATCAACTTACTGATTACAATTCATGAATTATTCATTCGTCTCTTTTTAAGAAATATAAACAAAACAATATATAGTGACATTACCATTGATGAGAAACCAGACTGTTGTCCCAGCAGATGGTATACGCAAAGTGCACACTCCTTCCCGCAGTCTGTTCCAACCACAAGTGACACACAAACGCCCAGAACCATCATCCACATGCAACTGCTGCATGCGAGGGAAGCCATGGTCTAAGTACGGAAATGAGGGGAGAGAGGAGAAAATTCATTTTAAAATTCATAATTCTCAGACAAATGTTCAATTGAGTACCAAGCACACTACTGATACTACTGTTTGTAACGAACTAGTAGCAATTTATAATGCCAAATTTTATGAGCTGTGAAAATTAAAAAATATTTTTAAAAATGTGGCAAATACGTAACGCAAACTGTGAGAGTTCCCCAAAGGGAGCGCGCCTGCAGGTGATGCGTCTTATTCTCTATGGTTTATTACTAGCTGTAGATATAGTGGGTAGTATAAGCACCGGTGCATCACTTTAAAAAAAAAAAGTATTCGCTATCTTACCTCTGCTTTACTTTAACAGAAAATAAAGCCGCTCGGAGATTTCCTCGTCCTGCCCTCGGGAGTAGCGGCGGGCTGTGAAACTGGACTGGCTCAAGTCTGTGCACTCAATATATCTGCGCGCAGCTCCGTGAGCGGCAGGCTGTGGGAAGAGTGGCCACGGTTCAGCCAATCAACAAAAGACATACATACACACTGCTTGGTCGCTCCTCTAATCGGCGCTGTATCGTCCGTCTGCTGACAGTGACAGAAGTGCAGCGTGTCGCCTTTTAGCGAGAAAAACAAAGACCATTACTATCTCAATGTAAAGAGCTGGGTGCAGTGCTGTGTCCGAGTGCACTGCGGGGTGTTAAAGTAGTTGGTGGCAACGACGTCACTGTAAAAAGACAGAAAACGTAAGAGGCGTTTGGCACGACCCCACCCTCCATAACCATCAGCACTCCAAAGATTTGGAGGTGCAGTGCTGGCGCAAATAAATGCGCAGAATAGTCTCAGTTTGTTGCTCTAACTATTTGTTTTTTCTACAGGTACATGACATCCAAATGGAATAATTCAGTTATTTAGTCCAATATAAAGTATGGGAGGGTTCATTTAAATAACATTGTACACATCAAACAACACACATAACGATTTTTCACCACTTTACTGCTTAATTCTGGATAATTCATGAAAGTTTTGTAATATTCATATACTAAAACAGACAGTGAACAAAGTGACATACTCTGTTACACAATCCCCGTTTCCCACTTAATCTCCTTCACACAGATAGCTGTTATCATCGCTTCATGCAGGACGTTTTTAATTAAAAAGGCGTTCTGCTAACATTACAGAGGCACTTCACTGTTCCAGCACTTATTTGTTCAGAACAACAGGCTCAATAAAGATATAAAGAAATAAAGATATCCCGGCATCAACTGCATGTTGTGTCTGTGTGTGTGCACATGTGTGAATGCACACGACATTTGCATATTGCTTCCTTATGGGAAACTGCAGTGCAAATGATAAACATTCATCCAATTTTATTAACACACAGTTTCCAAGTACACGGAGCTGGCAAGGAACTTGTGGAGTGGTCTCGAAGAAATCACCTCTTTCTGAATATCAGCAAGACAAAAGACATGGTTGACTTCAGGAGGAAAACAAATGTGACGAGGCCCATCAACGTCATGGGTGAGGAGGTGGAAACTGGACAGCTGCTGGTTCTTGGGCATTCACCTGAATGACAGACTGGACCAGCGGTGCTCTATAAAAGAAGGGAATGAGCAGACTCTACTTTCTAAGGGTGCTCGTATCCTTTAACGTGTACAGTTATCTGTGTGCAGAACTTCTACCAGTCTGTGGTAGTGAGTGCCATCTATTCCACAGTTTCTTCTCAGTTAGCCAACTGAGATGTAGGTGGGTGGATGGTGAATATACATTTTTTCTGTAAGTTATTCTGCAATGTTTTGTAATTCAGTTCAGTGCAGTTCTACTTTAATCAGTTGAATTCACTAAACAACAACACTGTCATGGTCTGGGTGAGTCACAGTAATTTTCCGCAGTGGGGTGGAGCCTTCGCTGCTCCTCCCAGAATCACCACCTGAGACTGATTGAGACAGCTGTATTTAAGACCAGCGTTCACAAAAGTGGATGCACAAACACAGAGAGTTAAGTATTTTTGATTAATTTAACCTCCATAGTTCATGTTCATAGTGTTTACATAGCTGTTGTCAGTGTTGGGGAGTAACGGAATACATGTACCGCCGTTACGTATTTAAAA